ACCCCACTAACAACAGAAATGGGACAAACTACCCACACAAAGCCCTCCTAACAAACAGCCATCCAGCCATAGAAATATATATATATATATATATATATATATATATATATATATATGAATGATTCACACACACCCAGATATAGTATCATAGATTTGAAAGGGACCCCTAAAAGAAGGACAATGATATGTTGCATGTTCCAGAGTAGGCAAACCAGACAATCTCCACATCAACACTGACAAAGAAACAACAAGAAATACTGTTTACCCACAAGCGCGCACACACACACACACACACACACATAGCCTTATGATCCAAAGGCAGGGTGATATATTACTAATATTATAAAAAGGTTTTAGCGGTCAGCTGCACACAACCATTTAATGGATATTATTTCTGTACCTGGCCATGGCCAAGTATTCGCAGTGCATACAGACGCCACAATTTTTATCTTTCCTTCTAGAGAGATTCAGCCATGGCTGCCTGGTACATAGCAGTATCCCTCCCAGGGCCTTAGCTGAGGTACACCAGAGCTCCCCACTTTCTTGTATAAACTACTTTTCCAAACATCAAACACAAGCCAGGGATACTGAAGGAAATTTTGTTTTCTTTCACTCTCTTGTAGCATGGAACTTGGCTCATGGCACAAGTCAGCTATTTGCCCCGCAAGCACTGTTTGGGACTATTTGTTCCCCTTGTGTGCCACACCTTACTAGTTTGTTGTAAGAGGTTATGCAGGAGGGAGAGTTCCCCACCTTTAAGGCATACAATCTCCCTCTCTGTTTTCTTTCTCTTTTTGCCAAAACAAGATATTGGAGGCTGTTATCTGCACTAGACTGCAATGGAACCTCTCTTCTTCAGCTACATTACCTGATTCCATGTACCTAACAGAGTTTTTTCATCCAGATCCCATGTCCACATACACTCATAGTCTCTTGATTTTTGCTAATTAGGAGAAAATAATCCAGTCTACTTCTCTCCAAGGCCAAGCTATTCCATGACCCTATCTAAATGCTCTCTTTCCACTACTCTATCTGCAACTCCAGCTTTCTACATGTAATAGAAATGCTCATAGAAATTCAATGATGCAATTAGGCTGGCATTTAATTGAGAAGAAAAAGCAGTTTATTGGAAGATAATTTTTTAGGCAATTCAAAGTTCATTGTATTGCCATCAGGCAGTGTTTCTCAACCTTCCTAATGCCTCAACCCCTTAATACAGTTCCTCATGTTGTGGTGACCCCCAACCATAAAATTATTTTCATTGCTACTTCAGAACTGTCATTTTGCTGCTGTTATGAATTGTAATGTAAATATCTGATATGCAAGATGTAATTTTACATTCACTGGACCAGGTTTGGTACAAATACCTGATACATCCAAATTTGAATTCTGGCGGGGTGGGGGGGGGATTGATTTTGTCATTTGGGAGTTGTAGTTGCGGGGATTTATAGTTCACTTACAATCAAGGAGCATATCTGAACTCCATCAACAATGGAATTGAACCAGAACTCCCATGACAAACAGAAAATACTCAAAGGGTTTCGTGGGCATTGAGCTTGAGTTCTGGCATTGTAGTTCATCTACATCCAGAGAGCACTGTGGACTCAAACAATGATAGATCAGGACCAAACTTGGCACAGATATTCAAAATGTCCAAATGTGAACACTGGTGGAGTTTGGGGAAAAGACACTTGCCATTTGGGAGTTGTAGTTGCTGGGATTTATAGTTCACCTACAACCAAAGAGCACTCGGAACCCAGGCCACAATGGATCTGCACCAAACTTGACACACTACCTACATGGCCAGTATTGAATACTGGTGAGGTTGAGGGCTGTTTTAGAATTCTAGGAGTTGTACTTCACCAACACCAAAAAGGAAGATATTATAATATTTATAATATTATATTTATAATATTGTAATGCAATGCAATATAATACTACTAATAATAATATGATATTATAATTATATATTTATATTACATGTAATATTACTAATAATATTACAGTATAATTGATATAGTGCAATGTAGCAATATTTAAAATTGATATTGTACTATGTTAATAATATATTGTATGTATATATACCTTGTAAGCCGCTCTGAGTCCCCTTCGGGGTGAGAAGGGCGGCATATAAATGTCGTAAATAAATAAATAAATAAATAAGAGAAAGACAGGTGGAGAGATCTTCAGTTTTCTCTGCCAAAGGGTTTCCTAAGACCATCAGAAATACATGTCTTCTGGTGGTCTTTAGCGACCCCTCTGAAATCCCACTCGTGACAGCCAATACATAGGATGGTTTGAAAAAGCATACCTTCATGGAGGGGGAGGTCTGTCAGTGGCAAATAATGGCAACTTGAGAGGCATGGTGCCACTGGATAGTTGGGGGGAAAGAATGGGAGCGAGCTGTCACCTTCATGTCCCAAGTGTGGAGAAGATTGTTGTGAGAAACAGGATGCTGGAATGGCATTCTGATTCCCCCAAGTAAATATAATGGCTTTAAGCTTCTCAAAACACAATCTGTCTCTTTCAGAAATTGCAGTACCACTCCATACAATCTATATTGTTGTCTCTTAGGTTTTCTTTGAGTTCAAAAAAGTAAGCAGAAACCATCCCCATCTGCATCTATTGAGCATGATGGCAAATACCAGCTTCTTATCTGAGAAGAAGTTCAGCTCTGTACACTTTTTCTATCAGTACAGCATAGTTGTTCAAGGCAACTCTGACTTGTGGTAAGCTACCCATAAGGTTTTCTTGGCAAGAATTTTTATAGGAGCTTCCGGTTTGGGCTGAGAGAATGTGGCTTGCCTATGGTCAACAAGTGGCTTTTCATGACCTAAGAGGGACCTAAGAGGGAGTTGAACCCTGGAGTTAATCATTCAGATCATATTATTCCACTGAACTATATAAATCTGATTCCCCATTACTACAGACTCTAACCAGAACCTGGGTTGTCACTATCCAAGCTAGGCAGCATTCTTCTCCTAACTCACAGAAAATAAAATTGACAATTAACCAAGAATTTTGTGTGTCTGTGTGAATGTGCATCCAAACAAATACACACATTTACCTATCTAGTGCCACAATAAAGAAGTGGGAGACGAGAGAGGAAGTGGAAACCACCAGCTACCTTCAAGAAAAAGGTGACAGCCAAGGATGATGTGTGGCTGAGCAATGTGCTAGAACTCATTTCACAGACCCAAGTTCAGCTTTAGTTTGTGTATTTCTCCTTCAGGTCCTGAGATATTTTTTAGTGAACCTTTACAGCTGAAGTAGGAAGTGAAAAAGCAAAGTTCTCTGAGGAATGTTGAGAGATATCACTGTGTGTCTATGAGAGCTGGGAAGCATTTGGTTACTCACAGGCAGTGTGTTCGTGATGAGATATAAACCAAGCTATCACTTATTGAAAGATATTGTTGCCTTCATGACAGTAACTGATCCCCGGTTGCGCAATGCGTTAAACCTTTGGGCTGGCAGGACTGCTGACTGAAATGTCAAAGGTTCGAATCCAGGGAGCGGGATGAACTCCCATCTGTCAGCTCCAGCTTCTCATGTGGGGACATCAGCGAAGCCTCCCACAGGATGGTAAAACATCTGGGCATCCCCTGGGCAACGTCCTTGCAGACAGCCAAATCTTACACCAGAAGCAACTTGTAGTCCCTCAAGTTGCTCCTCACACACAAAAAAGTAACTGACTGATTAATATGAGTAGCAATTTAAATCTTGCATAAACTCAAATGTAGATATATACATAAAGGAAAGTCTGCCCAAATATCAAGAAGAAGGAAATACATACAAAGAAGAAACCTTTGAAAGTTAGTTCTGCACCAAAAAGGTCAAGAAACAAAATTCTCGAAGGCACACTGCCCAAATAAACGTTTTTCTTGAAGCTATCTCTAGGTCCCCTTCAACTGGCTCTCCCTTACACTTCCATCTTTTAAAAGTAGCTGGGAAGGGAGTTTGGAAATGCAATTTTTAAAAAATACTTCAATCAAAAGTCAAATTTGCTCTCCCTGCCCCTGAACAGATACTCACTAGGAAAACTTTCCCTTTGAAAATGAATGAAATAAAAGTTAATGTTTAGGGCAAATAAACTGTACATAACAGAACTTCAGAGCACCAAAAGGCACTCTGCTTTGATTTAGAAGATTTGATACAATTTGTTAACAGACTGAGAAGTGATGGATCCTTAGACGCTTTGGGAGTCACAGCGTTACAAGATTATGAGCTCCTAGGGTGGACAGCCTGGAAAAATAAACATGGAAAAAACGGAAACTTGAAGACAGAGATAAAACAATTTGTCCAAGGGTAGGCTGAAAGCTAATAGCTAAAAATTGGTTTAGGTTCAAGGCTTGCTCAGCTATTGCATTCTGCAACTAGTGAGAGTGTACACTACGGTCAACATTGTTTTTGAAGGGAAACAAATTATGTTCTATAAAAATAAATCTTATCTGATACGGGCAATTGGAGTCTAACAAATTACAGTCCAAACTACCATTCTGCTATTTTTAGCTCTTAATAGACATAAAAGGTTTCTGTGTTTTAAAGTCCCAGGTCAAATGTATGCCAGGAAAGCAACATTATTAACCTGTGGAAAGTCACAAATAGAAACATGGCAATAAAATGTTTAAAATCTGGGGTCTAAATCTAAGTACTAGTCTCAACTAGAAGAGATTCACTGAATGAGGGCTTCTAGGGTTCTCTGAAAACATAGGACAACTGTCTCCAATGCCTAACTGGTTCAAGATTGGCTGGTAAACATGAGGCAGGCCTATACAAAGCCTGCCTCAAGTCTCTTGCAAGATTACTAGGCTACCATGACATTTGAGAAACAAACACTTTCTAATTACTTTATTTTCCAGATCACCAGACTGGGCCACAGCAATGCGTGGCAGGGGACAGCTAGTGCTAAATAAAAAAGGCCTTCCAAGAAAACTCAAAAGCATTTCAGAAATCAAAATAATCAGTGTGCCAGAATAATAACTGAAAACAGAATTACGTACTTCTTACCAATGTTCTGTTTCAAGAAAGAAGAAGCCTCTGGTCAGTTACCAATATAAGCAAGTGCTATCCAAAGCAGGAAAAGTCTAAAATGAAAAGACATGCATTCCATCACAAATTCAGTATTATACTTATTATAAGTTGGAACAGAGAACAAGTAAAAGTGACAACAATAAGCAGGGGAGGGAAACTGTTCTTTGAAATAGGCCCATTATTCAGTAATTTATCTGTCTTTTAGAAGAATAATACAACTTGCTTACACAACATTTTGCACCTGAATGTAAAGGGTATGATTCTTAAGTATCACATTTTATTCGACTAGACATTCTTTTTCTAAAGTAATATACTCTATTTTCTTAGTTGAACACACTGGTCCTTACCTGCAGATCTTCACTCACAGAAGTGAAGGAAACACTTATGAGAGATAGGCATGCATGTTTATTCTGACATTGTAAAGATAGTCACAATGAGAAAAGACACCTCAGAATACTGAGACACCCTAATATAAAACTGTCAACTGCTGTGTTCACACTTTTATATTTTTTCCCAAAAGGTAAACTGCACTTTATGCAAAATACAGTAATGATTTTTCACATTACAAGACTGCTATTTACTTGAAAGGTAGAACAAACAAAATGCTTGCAAAAATATACTCTCAAAATGTGAAGTATCATGAAGAAATGTGCCTCTGTCTTCTAATCTTATGGAGAAAAAGCTTTATGACAGTCTTCGCTCTTGGGGAAGAAAGACTTCAGCATCACTCTCCTTTTATTGATACAGTCAATAAAATGGCTGGTTCATGTGACACGAATAGAGAGGCTCCTTACACATTATTATTACATAACACTGATAAATCACAGGTCACTACTAAAGAGTACAGGAGCAAAATCTCCGAATTAAGAACAACAACAACAGCAGCAGTAGTAGGATGTTCAACATACGATTTGTTCAAGACAGGTCAAGGACATTTTCTTGACCTGTCTAATAAATTGTATGTTGAACAACCTGCTGTTGTTGTTGTCTTGTGAATTCGAGCCTTCACAATATTTGGAGTTAGTACAATACATGTTTTATTAAAAGTTGCTGGTAGTTTTTTTTTCTGACCAGTGGTTCTTTGGAATATCCTCCCCTTAGTAGCTGTTCAATCCTAAACTCAAAATGATAGGGACTGAACTTGGGACCTTCTATTAGCAAGCATTTGCTTATTACTTCCCACTACGCTATAGCCCCTTTCCAAATGAGTTCATATGTGACAAGCTTCAGCAACTCGGAGTTCAGTGCACCACTAATTTTACAGTGTTATTCAAGCAAGCAATCACAGTCACGAACTCTCCAGTCATGTAAGTCAGGAAGTTTACAATCTCTCAAAAACTGTACCTAAGAGATCACCTCTCTCTCTCTGCCCCTAGACAAAGAAAACAAGTCTGGAAAGGTGAAGCCCATTGCCTTCTTGAGATATTTTCCTCTTTACATCTTACTCAGAGCACCAGTCATTTCAGTCAAACACCTTACATCTCAGCCAAAATGCATAGTGATTTTTCTGACATCCCTGGTAGCTCAGAGTTAATGTCATCTTTAACAGACAAGACAGCAACTTAAACTAGGATTGGATAACTTAGAATGCTCTGGATAAAAGATCCAGAAGAGTCTTTCAATACAAATTGCTCACTAAACACTTGGATGCTACTACGCCAGGAATGGGCAAACTTTGGCCCTCCAAGTGTTTTGGACTTCAGCTCCCTCAATGCCGAAAAGCCTTATTGCCAGGAGCTAGAAGGAAGTGCAGTCATCTTCCCACATTTGAGGGCTAAGCATTTGGAGATTTTTTTTTTTTGTGGATTGCTAGATTCACTGTCCTATCTGCTGTTGCTCTACATTTGACCAAGAAAATATGTTCTGCTTAGGCATTTGTAGATTTTCTAGTGTGATGCTATGGTCATGCTCTGCCAGAGATTGAACACAGACCTATGCTGGAGGATATTGACAGATCTTGAACAGAGAGCATAGTTTTGTTGTTGGTCTGCTTACCTGGCTTGTTAGGTGACAATAAAAGTAGAATAACAGATTTGGATGGCACAATAAGCAAGCCATTAGCTGAAGGCTTACAATTTGTTTAGTTGCACCCACCTTCAATGGAAGCCACCTGGAAGCATGCTCCAATAAATGCTTCAAAATTAAAAGACAGAGTCTGAGATGATTGGTTTACAATGACATGCAAACCCAGCCAAGATAACGTAGCGAGAATTACTTCCACCTGTTACACTTTCCAATAAATATCCATTTCCCACTGAATGCCTGCGATATGCAATCATCTTAGAATGGTCTGGGAGACAGACACATTTAATGCCCAAGCCAATGCCTCGCCATTTTCCATTTCCAACCATTGTGCTGAAACTACATTAGATTAGAATTATGCATCAATGTGGTTTTTAAACCTGTAGCAGTCTTTGCCCTGTGTTATCTCCCTGGACTTTTGTTCTCCCTTATCTTGCTATTTATATTCCTTATGATCCAGATGAACAGTTCCCCTCTCCATTCTTAGAAGTACAGACAGTTCCCAGGCCTAATGATGATAATGGCTTGCTGATTGACATTACAATGTACACCTGAAGTGGAAAAATATTGATTATCAAACTGTTTTTCACCCAATGAAGCAGATTACAAAGACAAGTACCTGGATTCTACAGTCTCCGGACTACCAATGTGAACACAAAAAGCTGCCCTTTGCAGTGTTGGACTGCTGATACATTTAATTCTGTTTGGTCTTTCCAAAAGTGTCCTGTTTGGGGCTGCTTTAACAGGCCGTATTCCAGAGGGTTCACAAATCACAGGACCAGGACACCACCATTATACATACAAAACATTACAACCTCACAAAATATCAACACCAAGAATTTTCAGTTGGGGCCTTCATCCAAGAAAGCAGACCAGCAAACCAAAGTCTGGTTCTGCAAACTGGATTTCCTTAATTTACCAAATATGTAACTAACCATAATACAAAAATAGAAACACAGAGAGTAAGGTAATTAAACTAGCAACATACCAAAAGGCATGTACAACATAGAAAACACTCTGACATTTGAAATCTTAATTGTCTTGCAAATGATAGTGAACGCTTGTGCAGATTTGCAGGCAATTTTTCAGAGATGGATTTGCAGTCAATGTTTCAGAGATGACATTTTAAAATTTAATTTACTGGGAACATAGTAAATGTCAGCAATGTAGGGAAATACTATTTTTCTCTGGTAAACAATGACCACTAAGGTCTGATTCTAATTGCACCCTTGAGATGGATTTCCAGAAAGTTCTGTTGACAGCTGTCACTTTCACTAGATAGTCTCTGCTTATGTAGTTTGAGGAACTTCAATGGTCGAGTCTCACCATACGAAAATATAAGAGCTGCCTTGTATGAATAACTAGCATAGATGCCCAGTGATGCCTGGATGCTCGAAGGACTTATGCTCCCCCGCTTTCATCTCTTCTTTCTCATTTCCTCCCCTCATATTTCCTTTTTTCCCTTCTCTACCTTCCTTCCCTCCTTTTACTTTCTCCCCACTTCCTCCTTACCTCTCTTCATTTTCCTCCCCTTTTCTTTCCCTTCCTTACCTTCCTCCCTTCCCCTCCCCTTTCTCCCATCTCTGGCTCTGAGAAGGCCTACCTCACAATGTCTTGTGAGACACCCCTATTAAAGCAGTTCTACTGGCTGATGATAAGTTTCTGGTCCCAATTCAAGGTGCAAGTTATGACCTACAAAGCCCTAAATGGTTCGAGCCCTGCCTATCTTTCGGATCACATCTACCCTATGGACCGGTGAGGGTTCCAAGATCTGCCAGAGAGGCTCTTCTCTCATTTCCACCACTGTCACAAGCACGATTGGTGGTGACAAGAGAGAGGGACATCTCAGTGGTGGCCCCCCATCTTTTGAACTCTCTCTCCAGTGAGATTAGGCAAGCCCCCACACTGTCATTCTTTCATAAGGATCTGAAAACCTGGATGTTCCAGCAAATTTTCAAAAATGATTAGTCCCTAGGCCCAGTCTCTGGGTAGTCAGATAGGACTCTGTCCTTCATCTACTTCCCCAGCCCTATAATATGCAGTTTGCACTACCCCTTGCCCAGCCCTTTTATAGTTGGCCACATTCATTTGGTAATCCTAACCATTAGTTTGTTGAACCTCTACTGATAGAGCTACAATGAAATGGGTTTTTAGTATATATATTTTAGTGTGTTTACCAGGATTTTGGTATTTTATGTTTTTAGTTGCTGTTATTTTGTTTGTTAAGTTAAATTAGGTTGTGTTATGTTGTCAAATGGGTTTATTTTGATGTAATTGTCTGTATGGTTTTCCTTCCAGCAATTAAATGTTTGTCTTATATGTTGGAAGATGCCCTGAGTGCCTTCGGGGAGATACGGCAGTATACAAATAAAGTTTTATTTATGATTATTATTATTCCTTCCTTCCTTCCTTCCCCTCATACGCATACCATTTATCTTTTACAATGACAACACAAGAGGGCCACTTCACCTCCAATAGCAAATCCTTCACCTAAGCAATAGCCAATCAAGTGACATCACAAAACTCTGGACAGCATTTTTTCTTGTTTATTGTATTTCAACTTTTTTAAGAGCCAGGTTGACATAGGATTGTAAATAGTGCCAATACTTTTAGGTGCCAGTATTGCATCATTTTTTTAATTGCTGGAACAGCCAGGCTCCTAGGATTTTTTCAGCCTTGAGTGAATGTCTAGAGGCCAGGCTAACTCACATGCTGAAACTGGCTGACAATTCCATCACATCTGTTTTGTGGACAGCAGTTCCCCAGAATGTTGAAATGGCTGCATGGTAAAACCAAACACAGAAGAGAGGGGTTGTTCAGAAGGAAATGAAGATCAAGTTATTCTTCATCCTGTAAAGGAAGATGAATCACTAGCCACCATAAAGTGTGGGAAGAAAGCATCCTACAGCACAAAGCAAGTACTGGAACAAACAAAAGCTCATTTCTACAGAACTCGAGGTTCTCCCCCAGGACTTGTTAAAATGGCACAGCATACATAGATGACAATGGGAAAACTGATGAATGAGTGAGA